CTTTATAATTGATACTTTTTCCTGCAGCCCTAATAACTATGTCTTGATTTTTCATTTCATTTATTGCAAACCCATTCTGACATCTACGTTGTCCCCCATGTGAGCAGATAGAGCAAAATTCAACATTTAATGTTTATTATTTATCTTCCAGGCTTCCAACTCCTGGACATGAAAATGCTGATAATACATGTGCATATATAAAACAGGGCCAGATAACTGCTGGTGATTGTCAAATTAATGGCTATTGTATCTGTAAGAAGAAAATACATTCAAGTCATATATAAATATGTGGAAAGAAAGTGAACATGTAAGATTTCCCATGATGATGGCTTCAAATATATGAATTATTTACTTAGTTAAAAGTTGATATAATTATAAATTGATGCCCATATATTTTCTTAATTTTATTTCATAATACATAACAGTAAAATGTAACAAATTTTTATTAATGGCATAGGAAGTAATACAAGGGAAAAGGGAATGTGAAGAAAAAATACTGATATCAAATTAGTAAATAAACTTTCTATTCTGGGTTAGAGGTATTTTATCAATCCTGTTTTCAAACTTTCAACTCTTCTAGTACTTTCAGAGTAAGTTGTCAATGGAGTGCACACTCATGTTGAAAATTATGTACAAAATCAGCCTTCCTTTGACTCATTAGACCATCTATGGGAGGTGTACATGATCAAGATTGCAATATAAAATTGCCTGAATGTCAAAGGACATCACATTTCAGAAGACAAGATGATGGTTAGATATGATTCTAAAGAGCCAGGAAATATATGAACTTTGTGAGTCACACTCACTCCAGTTTGAAAATGCACTGTCGGCAGTGGAGAGGGAAAATGAGCAGAATTTACTTCAATCACAGCAAGGCATTATCCTGTCTTTGGTCACCTGCTGCGTTCTAAGTTCTAGAGACAGTTTCTAAATCAAAGAGCTGTGTGCTTTCACAGGGCTTACAAAATAGAGGGAGGACTGACATAAGTAAACACAGTAATACACAATGGAAATAAAATAAGTTCATAGATATGGAGGAAGGAGAGTTATTAGAATACAGTAAAACCCGTCTTGATGGAAAAGTTAGTGAAGACCTTCCCGACAGTATTGATGAGAAGACTGAGAAATGAATAAGTTTTCTTGCAAAAGTGCCCAGGGAGCTAAGAGTTAAGTGCATTTCAGAGACAAAAACAGTACAAGCAGCAGATGCAAAAGCCCTATGTAGGGTGAATACTGGGAATTTGGGTGCTAGTATTGAGGTGGGGAGAATGTCTGATACAACCCTGGGGAGAAAGGGAAGACACAGAAAACACAGGGCTGAGGATTACTGTCAATGCAGAATGACCTAGGGTAGAAAGATGGCCTCTATAAACAAACTTCTTTCTTTTATATTTGTATGCACTTTAAATGTCTGTATACACACAGGCCTGTCAGACAGAGACCTGGGGACAGGATAACAGCAATAGATCTAGTTACTATTAGGTACCTAAGAAACAAACTTTAAAATATATTAGACAATACAAAATTTCTAGGTTTAGGATAAAGTCAATTAATTGAAACATTTAAACATTTAAGTATTTAAGAAATATCAAATTTTCTTGATGTGTCAATGCTGCAGGCCTGATAGTGAGGGTTTCCTGACTAAAGTACCATCAATGATGGACACATACCTTTTGCCCAGATTATTAAATGTCAAAATTGTTAAAGCATTATTATGTTTTATATGTCTTCCTTGTCACTTATCTACCTGCCTACCCACCCAACCATCCATCGTCTCTCTACTTCCCCACCCATCTTTCTGGTGACAGTTTGGGAATGTGCAAATCTATTGGCTCTCTCTGAATGATAGTTTATTACAAAAGTTAGAAGTTAAATTTTCTAGGCTTCTCCCTGGTGGTACAAGGGGTTAGAGCACAGCACTATGAAGCTCTCCACAGCCACTGCAGTGTGAATTAGATTCCAATCAGGAAGGTGACCCACAGGGTGCAGAGAACCTCTCTTGTCTCACCCACTTTCCCCTCAGCAGTGTACTTCAGTTGATCTGCCTCTTCTGCTCCCCACTCTGGCTCTGGCAAATCCTCTCACCCCTGCATTTCTGGCCTGTACCCCTGTTCTTGTATGCACACATAAATCTTCAAAAAAAAAAAAGTTGAAATTTTAGACTGATAGTTTTTATTGAACTGAAAATACCAGACCATGACATTTACAATGATGTCAACCAATGTAATTTCAATAAAATTAAAAACTGAAATAAAGTGTTAGAAGCCATTGTTACTACAACGAAGATTTTAAAATAGGAATTACAACATCAGCTTCATGGCACAGTAAGACACTATTATCATTTCCCCCATGTTAGCTGGATTTCTGTTACTATTTTAGAAGTATAACATCTCCCCCTTCAGGTGTGGTCTCCTAAGCACACACATTAGCCATTTTCTCTCTTCCTAACCTGTTCTCTCCCTCTCTGGAGCCTCTCAAAGAGGTAAAGATAATAACAATGAAAATAAAATAAGTTCTTAGATATGGAGCAGAGAGAGTTATTACCTTGATGGATAAGATAGTGAAGATCTTCCTGACATAATTATATTTATGGAGAACTCCTGGGAGCTACAAGGTCAGCTTACATCGGTTAGATTTAATGTTTGTCTAAGAACATTTATCTCACCTAGACTCTTCAGCTTAGTATGTCAGCATGCAGGAAAAGCCTGCGTGTCTGTGATTTGAAGTCTGTGCCACAAGCAAAGTTGGTGGGCTACCTTGCAAACCCACAGCCCTGAGGAAGAAGGGACCAGAGGCTGTGTGAGCGGGAGAGAGCCAGACCTGTTCATAGGCAGAAGGTGTAGCACAGGGACTATAGCTCCTGTGTAGTCTCACCCTCCCTGTCCAAGGCTCTAGAATGGGAGTTTGCCTCTACCATCCACCTCACTCCTCCCTGCCCTGACTGAAAGTATAAACATAAAACGAAAGCCGCATTACTAAATGCTGTATATTAGAGGAAATACACTTAATGCTTGTGAGGGAAGCCAAAATCAGACAGAGAGGCATCTCATCAAATAATAATAAGAAGAATTATAAAGAAAGACAAGTAGCTAGCAATCAAACTTAAAAATATAAAATTTGATGAATACCAGAAAGATAATTCAAAACAGGTATCAGGAAGATAGCACATTCCAAGAAAACACTGATTGACAACTAATATCAGAAAGAAACTTAAGAAGAGATGGAAATTTAAGAAGCAGGGATTGAAAATGTGGAAGAAAAACAGTGGCCCTCCCTGGTGGCGCAATGAGTTAGGGCGCAGCACTGCAAGGAAGCCCCAGTCTTGAGGTGACCCACACAGCGCCGCAGACCTCTCCTGATGCGTCCCGTCCGTTGCTCCCCTTAGCACTGTACGTCATCAGTCTGCCTGTTCTGCTCCCCACTCTGTCTCTTACGGCCCCTGCACCTCTGGCCTGAACCCCAGTTCTGTATGTATGAATAAATCTTTATACACACACACACACATAAGAAAAACATAACCAGGGATCCTGGATATGGAGATTCAATAAATGGAGAAAAACTATAAAAGAGAGCATACAAAATAGGATAGAAACAAATAAGAAAGAATTACTGAAGAAGAAAATAGAAATCTAAAAATGACTCCAGGAGTAGAGGAAAAAGGATACAATTTAGTAGAAATCATGAAAATATGAGAACTATCAGTCTCCATTAAGAAGTGAAACAGAAATATAATGAATATCCTAGAGGTGAAAGAGAAAGGCACAGAGACTTTCTTTCAAGAAATAATAGCTGAACCTGCCCAGACTGGTCTAACAAAAATGTCCCAAACCCAGAGAAGGAACTAGCTACAAAAATCCATGGAGTCAAGAGAACATGTAATTATCTAAATGCAAGCGGACTTATACCAAGACACATGATAGATAATTGCCAAACACAATGTTTAAACATAATGATATACAGGTGTCCAGAATGAGCTACATTCAGAAATATGAACAAAGATGAATCTTCACAATTCAGAATGTCAGCAAAGGAATGCAACGATGTGGACATACATTATTTGATGTGAATTGTTTATTTGAATGTATGAAAAGAAACTTTACTAGAATACATCCACAAAATATATGCAGTTTAATGCCGAACACACATTAAATCAAAGTATTCATTCAGTCTTTATCTTGATACCTTATAGTTGCAGATGGTGGTGCACAAACTTGTCATTTTTATAACAACTTGAAATATTTCACAGCCCAGAATTAGATAATTGGAGCAGGGTCAGCAGGAGAGTTAGTACTCTGGAGACCTTCACTGCTTGCTTCTTCCACTTCTACCATCTGTTGCTTACAGATATACAAGTTATTTTTCCTACAGAGTTCACCCAAAACATCGCCTTTAGGGCGGTATACTATGCAGTTTTTTGGAGTTGCCTTTTGAAAGAATGGAAATCTGTAATTAAAAATAAAAATGTTAGCATATGGGAGAAGGCAATGAAAATGTTCAGTGATATTTCTTATTAAATAGTTGAGCTTTTCAAAGCATTTGAATGAGACCTTAACACACTGAGTCATTATATTTTTTGTTCCATAACCAGTCTTAGTAATTTCAGAGTGGAATATTGCTAAATTTCAGTTATTATCTCTATATCTAGCACATAGAGTTCAGGGATTATTTTTTATTACTAATGGCTTTGATATTTTATGTAATTTGATATTTTATGTACTTTTTCCTATATTAAAGATGCAATGACTAGTTTAGGGAACAAGTTGGGGCATAAAATTGGCCTTTGTGTGAT